GGATGGATGACAGATCATCTACACTAAGTAGGAGAAAAGTTGTTAAATGTTCACTTCCCTTTGCATTGCACAGTCCTGGCCTAAAAGATTGAACACACGGTGTTCCTGACAGAGAAAAGACATTAACGGAAAGAAAAAAATGCTGCATGGAAAGTAAAATGGTAATTCCAATAGTGGCCAGCAAAGTGATTGAAAACATATGAAAGTTAGTGGATTCGAGTTGAAAGAAATGCACACATGAAAGCTTTCCCTGAAGCGTTCAAGGGCCTCTGTCTGTATCCAGCCTCAATAGACTTTCCCAGGAACAAAGAATAACCGCAAACTTGTGATGATCCCCAATAAATTTTGTGTGTAGGGCATGTGGTTTCCCTCTTCCCAGAAACAGTTCACACCTGACATAGCACTATGTCGATTCAGGATTGACTTTTTAAAAAATCTTCTACCTCAGTGTTAAAAACGTAGTACCTCTCCCCAAAAAGATCTGAAATGCTGACAGGAAAACTGTTGATGGAATCTTTGGCTCTGTAGGAACTTCAGACTTACCCGCTCCCCCTTTGCCTTCCTGCGATTGCACTTTCCTGGAGCTGGCAGGCCCTGGCAAGGTCCCGTGCAGGCAGGTCCTTGTGCAAACCTTCCAGGCCCAGCCTTGCTCTGTTAGGCTGTGTCCCAAGAAAGGCCTCTGCCCCTTCTGCCAGGCCTGTGGTCTCCTCTTCCTCCCCATGCCCGCATATCCGCTTCCATCTGAAAACGGGACAGAGACTGAAGGGGAAAACTTTGGCAGTTGGGATACTGGCAAGAGCCACAAGTTGGAGCTTGTTTCGCTTTCCCTGGAAGTTTCAGATTGACAATCGTGAAATTAACGAAAAATAGAAGAGGGTCTCTTATCTCTATTCAGACCCACAGGGATTCATTCTTCTCTTCTGCTGTGTCTGGGCTGCTCACACTCCCCTAGAGCATGGCTTAGGAGTGAGATGTTCAAAACCCAAGAATATGGAATACGTTGCAGGTTCAACTGCAGTTCAACCACAAATACAGAGCACGCGGCATGCTTTGGAAAATGTAATATAGAACATCTTAGACTTTTTATGGCATTAATTTTCTCCCACATCCCTTTAAGTTATTTTGTGCATGTCTTCTGGCCTCTGTGTCTGCCTGTTTTCTTCTAATGTCTCCTTCCAAAAGAAACCTTTTGACAATGTGACATGAATGCCTTCATTTCTGACCCGTGCCATTTATTTCACTTATATGCTTGGTTAAATACTGGATTTGGCTCATACTTTCCATATGGAATTTTAATAAATTCATTACTCTCAAAGCAAAAAGAATAACCTCATTTTTAAGCTGAAAAACCTGCATTTAATTAATATTTCAAGTAAATAAACGTAAAAAATAGTAAGAAACTTTTGGATATTTTGAAAATTATTGCTTCTGCTTAATTCTTTCATTTAAGTCGTGAATTCCACTAATATTTTAAGTCACTTTTTAGATGTTAGGTGCTAATTGGCTAATAACAAGGAAGGATTAACAACTATTTAGTTATTTTGATTAATCCAACCTATTGCCATAACTCAGGACAGAATAATAGAATAAAAATACTCTACATCAAATTAATGTGCTTTTTAAAAAACTTAGATCCTCAAGTGAGTGACTTCATTTTCCACTTTGCTTGGTCAATATTAATTGCGGATTTGCTCATCTAGAATCTGTTCTTTCTGCTTGGCTGTGCAGAAATCATGTTTTTTCTTCTGATTTCAATCATCCTCTGTGCCCCCTCCACTGCAGGTATAGCCTCCAACAGTCTTAGTTAAAAGCAGGCTGATTCTAAAACACACTTTACCATGTTTTATTTCCCCAAAGAAGACCACACCACCAACTTAATTTCTGCTTTCATGCCACCCAGTGCTACTTAAGAACATACTGGAAAAGGTCACTTAATTTCACTAAAATTTCTTGCACCTCAACACACCTGGGTCTTTTCTATTATTGGGTACGTGTTCTTCCCTCATTAAATCACTATTACACTCCTCGCAGTGCCCGATCCCAGTCTTTTCCCCTGTTCTTTCTCTCAGAATTTGAATCTCTTTGTGCTCTGAAGATCCCTTTGCCTCATTCTTAAAAGACTCAGTTCAGCTTCCTGAGCTCCACAAGTGGCTCCCTCTCTGCAGCAACCTTTCCCTAACTTCATCCATTTCCTATTCCTTCCCCTTCCTCAGAGGCTACCGTTGCCAATGACACCTTTGATTACATCTCCTCCTGCCTCCTCTGAGGCCTTTTTAAAACTGGTTATTCCTTTCCTCTTAGGCCTGCAGTCTCTCTTTCTGCCAAAGACACTCCTGGCCTAAAAACACCACCACAAATCTTTCTTCGAGGCTGCTTATCTCTCACATTTCCTCTCCGCAAATTTTTTGGATGTGCATTCCTCTTCTCCTCTACCTGATGTTTATTTAACTCCTAAAAATTTAGTTTTGTTCTTACACTCCATTGGAACTGAACTCTCAAAAGTCACTGATGTATAATCTATATTTGGTAACCAAAGCTAACGATCTTTTCCAACCCCCATTCCTCGCTGTAACATTTGACACCATCTTTCTGGAAATCAAAAGTGTTTTCAGAATCCTGAATGGAGTTGTTTTTTGGTCTCCATTCCCTGGTTCTTTAACAGCAAACTTGAACCTTTATCTCTTTAGACTTCCATTTCCCTTGCCCAATCTTGTAGATATTCTCCCAAAATTTTTTCTCCAAACAAACTCTATATACTGCTTTTCTGGAATTTTCATGGTTTTAGATGTCTTTTCTGTGTGAACAGTTCTGAAGCCCATCAATCCTGAATCACAGGCCTCTATTTTCTGTTTAGGCTGGATTTATTCATGTTTAAATTCTACTAAGTGAAACGCAACAGGTCCAAAACAAGTTCTAGATTTTCCTTCTTCCCCAACCTGTCTTTCTTGATGGCCCCCTTTCAGTCGTCACATCACCCTCTTTCTTGTGACCTAGAATCAAACATGGGTGTTCTCCTGGACCTATGATTTCATTACCCCCAGAGCCATGAGTGTTCAAGCTGAGATATGCGGCCCTGCTAGCCTGTTAGATACATTACAACTGGGCTAACTTTCTTGAAATGCAATGATAGGTTATTCCCCTGCTTAATGGTTTCCTATTATTTTGGTTTTCTTAAATAATTTTTACTTGCTTTTTAATCTCTCAGCTTTAATTTCCCATATATTTATGCATTCTCCCTACCTTTTTCTCTAGATCCTTTAACATAGAATTATTTAAAATAATTATTTTTAAAATAAGTATTTTAAAACCCTGATAATCCCAATATTTAGGCCATACCTGGATCTGGTTGCACTCAAGATCTGACAGTGATGGACCCTAATTTCTGTGTGTGTATGTGTGTGCGTGCATGTGCACACTTTATAATTTTGATTGAATGCTGGACATTGTAAGATTCTGAGGTAAATTGTACTTATGCCCAGAAATGAGTATGGCTGTTCTGTCAGGCTGCGAGTGTAAGTGGTTGTGTCAATGTAGTCTGTAATTTAGCAAGGTCTGGACCTTCTCTTTGCTTCAGTTATGTTCAAAATACTATAGCCTTTAAATTCCTCCAGTGGTAAATTGCCTCTGCCTTGTACTTAGTGTAAGGCCTGGAGCCAGAGGGCTCCTCCCAGTCCTCCTGCTGCACCCTTAGGCTCCTGTGGACCCGACATGCCTGTACCAGAGTCCTTCTTATCGTTACGCCCTCCAGCAGTAGGCTGCTCTTATCTGGCATTCAGTGCAGGGCCTGATTCTCTACCTCTGCCCTCAGATTTAGGCAGGCACTGTGTTCTTGCCTTGGCAATGGTTTCTCTCAGTGCTCCTGCCTCTCTCCAGTGTCACCCGGTCACCTCCTGTTACTGGGTTTAAGACCTGGTAGATGGGAAAGCGGGGTTCACAGTGGTCTGTCCTGCCCCTTTATGAGGCAGGCAATTGCTGTCCATACTCATGTAAAGTTGGAGTGTGGGGTGTCTTCTCTTGTTTCTGCTGATCCACCATCAAACTTAGGCAGTCCCTTTAGTTCATTAATTTATCTTGCAACTTAGAGTCTCCGATGGGCTCCAAAATTGTGATTCTGCAGGTTACCTGATTTGGTCTCATTGTTTAGATGGAAGCAATATCTCCTGTAACTTTCAATATCCTAGACAGAAGGAGAAGCCCCCTAGTGCATTTTGTCCTTAACTCTGCCTTAGATTTCGTTCTCCCAGAGGACAGATGCTAAGAAAAGAATTTGAGTTCAAGTAATTTATCTAGGAGGTGATCCCAGGAAACCCCAGGAAAGCAGTGGGAGGAGAGACGGGGAAGAGAAGGGCTCCTACATAGTGTGTTAATGAGCGATTGGGCTGCAGTCCCAGTGGGGACCTCTGGAAGACTCTGGAATCAGCCTTAGGGAGGAAGCTGGACATTCATCTAATTTCCACCTGTAACTGATCAGCTGCTCTCCCTATGTGTGGAGCCTGCTCCCGGTCAGAAACGGCAGAGAAACACAGGAGCTTGCATAGAAAGTTGTTTACATGAGAGGATGTGGGCAGGTGTAGCACTGTTACAAACTCTCCAGTGGCACTTATCACATTATTTCTCAGACACATGGGTGTACCAGACCCTGGTGTTTTTGAGAGGATGATTCATAACTAATTTATCATTGAATTCTCCCATCGTGGAGGAGAATAGTCAGAAGACAATATTTATTAAATGAAAAAATATATTTTATAAAGTACCAATATATAGAATTCTGCTTAGCTCATCTTTATTTTCTATCCTTCCCCCAAAAATTCACATTCTCACCCCACCCAAATTACTCAGATAATAGAACTTGGTTCTCTTAATTTCCAAAAAGGTGAACTTTACCAGCCTAATTGGAGTTTTTAAGAAACATATTGATTTTTTGGCTAATTTGAATGCATTATAACTTTAAAATCTAATTTCCTAAATATTACCTAACAGGCATTTTCTGTTATTTGCAGCCAACAATGATTAGGCGTCCACCAACAATCATTTGCTACATTTGTGGTCGTGAATATGGAACAAAATCTATTGCCATTCATGAGCCACAGTGTCTGAAAAAATGGCATCATGAAAACAATTCGTTGCCTAAAGAGTTGAGGAGACCAGAACCTAAAAAACCTGAAGTCAGGACCATTACTGGTAAGTTTTTGAACGAAAAGACTTCAGTGCATAAGGAGAGACTTTTCTCTCTAAACTTATAAGAGTAGAAGATATTCTTTTTCTCTCTGGTTCACACAACTGAAATCAGCAATATTTACTGTCTTGGCTATAGCCGAATAGGAAAAATAGTTCTGGAATGCCCGCCCAAAGTGTTGTCTTCAGATGCTGAGACATAAAGACACTACATCCTGGAAAAGCTATGCAAGGAGAAGAACCCACTGGAATTTACATATTTCTCAAAAGTTACTTTCGTATATATCAAACATAATATTTAAAAACCATGAAACTTAAAAAACCTTTGGGACATCTGGTGACATGTTTTCAAATATGAATGCATCTTAGAGTTTGTAGAACAGGGCTACCAAACTCAAATGCTTACAGGGTCTACTAATCAGGTTCCAAAATTGAATAAATTGGTCCATGCATGAAAAAGGGGACAGTGAAGGCTATGGTGAGCTGGAAAGTGCTGGCTCCCTCTAAAGTAGACAGATGCTGCCCGGCTGGCGTGGCTCAGTGGCTGAGCATTGACCTGTGATCCAGGGGATCTCGGTTGGATTCCCTGTCAGGGCACATGCCTCAGCTGCAGGCTCAGGCTCGATCCCCGGCAGGGGGCGTGTAGGGGGCAGCTGACCTGATGCCTCTCTCTCCTCATTGATGTTTCTATCTCACTCTCACTCTCCCTTCCTCTCTCTGAAATCAATAAAATATGTTTTGAAAAAGTAAAATAAAATAGAGAGATGTTGCCCTGTTCCAGCTGGTGTTGTCATTAAGAAATTTAGCACAGTGTGGTCACACCTTTCAAAAATCAAAAGAAACTGAAAATCTAGATATCTATATGAAATGTCCAGATTTTTAAAATTTTGCCATTAGTATTTTGTTAAGCAGTACAAAAGCCAAATGAAAGTGGAACTCCATTAAGCACGCTGCATGACCTTGTTACGGAGCCTTATGCATTTCATTTAAGGTATGAGAATAAAGTAGTTCAGAGAATATTTTTGCCATACAAGCTCCGACTTTCTCATGTCTACCATTGTCATATTCTCAGTTGAACCCCTAACTCCCTTCAAAAGAATATCATTCTTGGTTTAAAGAGGAGTATTATTTAATTCAGTCATTCTCCCTATGTAGCCACAGAGTTGCAGAGCTGGAAGGTACCTTGTAGGTTATTTAGTATCATTTAGTCCAAAGCACTTATTAGAGATGTGACTAAAGAGAATTTTTAACAACCCACGGAATGGAATTTAGATCATCATAATAAATTTCTAGATGCTTCCAGAATTCAACTATTCACAGTTCTTGCTTAGAGAAGGACTCTGAGTAGAGATGGGAAAAGAGCTCAAGATGAAAATATCCATCCACTGAAATTAGAGCATTTGCCTACAAAGAGATTGTTTGCCTTACTGGAACTCTCCTACCGATTCTCATTTGGTATCAAAAATGTGTTTCCTTCACTTAATATGTATAACTTTCTCTGCTTGAGCATAATTATCACAAGTCTAGAAGAGGTGAAAGAAACAACCATTTTGGAAGCCCTGGTGGGTTCATTCTTCTGCTATTGCCTACAGATGGAAAAACTAGGCCCTATAACTGCACCCCCTGTAATTTTCCTGTTGGCCTTGGGTTGTTTTTGTTTCTGAAGAAGTCCTTCGTCTCTAGGCCAAGAGAATTCCCATTACTACTCCACCTTGTGGACTTACTGTAATCGTAGAGTTCAAATAACCCTTCCTTCAGAGCCAGAGTCAGAGCCCTCTGTGAACACTTTTAGAGGTGTGATGAATCATCTTACAATGAATACTCTGGAATTTTTAGTCCATATTAAAACTTATGAGTAAGAAGAAAGTCAGTGCCTTTCTCTTTGCAACAGTTTTCAAAGCACTCAAAAACACTCCCATATCCTATGTAGAAAGTGATACTTTATCCAGGAGAAATACTAGGTTTGCTGTAGTTTACTAAATTTTCCATGAAGAAAAAAAAAATAAAAAGAATATTAAGAGTAGGCATGTTAAGGAATCTGAGGTTTGCTATGGTTGTGTGAACCATTAGACAGAAATCATCTGAGAATTGCCTGGGCTTTAACGAGGAAATATATGCTATGAAAATGATAAAAAAAACTGTTAAATATTTTTGAGTGCCTGGCTACACTTTGGGGGCTTATTTTGGGAGACTCTAAGACATAGTCAATTTAATGTACTAAAGTCGTTCTATTTAAATAAGGTTCATTAAAGCTAAATCCCACACTGTTTCTCTAAAACAAAGCCATATGCCTTTTTTCCTGCACTCTGCCAGCGAAGATTATACATCTTTCAGCTGTCTCCTTTGTTTTCCTAAGGGCACCCCTTTTCGTCAGATTAACTATTCTGTTTTCATTCTTCACTTTAATTACTTAAGGAATCTCTGAGTTTATGGCCTTAAAGACATGATAAATTTTTATGATATAATTTATCTTAAATTCACTCTCAACTGTCAGTGTTGGCCTCTAAAAACATTCCACTGAAGGATTACGGAAGGGGAAAATACAAATACATGTTCCCTTTCCTATGTAAGTTTATATTTAGAGTCAACCGAAAGAAGGCCAAAAGTTATATTTGCAAGATAATGCGTGAGCAAAGATGTTAATAATTAGTAAAGAATGCACAGCATAGCACAAAACAATGTCTTTCCGTTTTAAAATCCAGCGTGTGGAAGGCCTCTGGTTCGTAGCTAACTTTACTCAACCCTGGAGTGAACAGCACTTTTTTTTTTTTTTTTGGCCAAAGTAATAGGATTTGTTTAAAAGCCTCAGTCAACAGGTATTTCCTGAAAATGTTTTCCATAAAAAAGTAGACTATGGTTCTCCACCACGAAAACGGGCCCATTTCACCTTTCTCTTTCCCCTTCCTTTCTTTCTTGTTGTTCGTTTGTTCTTTAACTTTGCAGCCAAAGGCTTCTACGATCTCGATGCCTTAAATGAAGCTGCCTGGACAAGTGCCCAGAGCCAGTTGGTTCCCTGCAACATCTGTGGGCGCACCTTCCTGCCAGACAGGCTGATTGTTCACCAACGATCCTGTAAACCAAAAGTCGCCAAGTAAAGCCCTTTCTCCCTAGGCAGTGCTGCAGGAGTTAAATCCTTTGGAAAGAGATTTGGGTATGGCGGGAAGGATCAATGAAAAGTGGAATGGATCAAAGGCCGGCTAGCTCGGGAAGCCCCAGCGTGCTGGTGGCATGCGTGTGACCACCGCATGGGGGCAAACGCTTGTGCATGTCACACTGGGGGCCATGCATGGCACACTTTTGTCAGAGTCACAAGTGGGCTGCCCTTCATCAGACCTGGCATTTTTGTCTCAAGGAAATTTCAGAGCCAATTGTTCAGAGCCATATTTCTCCCATTCTATTTTCCTGAGTGAGATTTTGAACCTCACAATCGGGACTATTCTTCAGTGAACAGAGGATTTGGGTGGCAACTTTGGGCAATTGCTTAGTCCCAGGCAAAACTGGATTCCTTCCCATCCCTGTGCTGATTGAAATAACATGCCACTCCCCGCTTCCTCTGATCCAGGGAAGTGTTTTTCATTGAGCTATTGATTTGGAACCTTCTTTTCTCTAGAAGATCATTCAATGGGAGAGACATTCAAAAAAAGGCTGAGGACTTATAACACTGGAACCATATCTAACGCATATTCTCTTACTAAAAGTGAAAAAATGCAACAGGGAAATTTCAGAACCAGTGCCAGCCTCATATGTCAGGAGATTACTGCAGTGCGATTCATCAAATGGGTGGAGGCCCCTTCCTTCTATAGGAGAAGTCCAGCGAAAGTTCTCCACGCCCTCGGAGGGGCTTATAGGTGTTTTATTGTTGAGGTCTAAATGCCTGCCAGGAAGTGTTGTGCCTCCCCACCCAAGGGCCATGCACAGTAAGTGGGTTGTGAAACTGCTCTGTGTTTTAGAGTCCTTGAGTGTGGATAGAGGCAGGGCTGTCCTGGGAGGAGGCCAAGGCCGGGGAGCTGCTCTGCCCAGGAAATTCTGCTCCCCCAGGCAGCGCTGTTTCATCTGGACTCCCAGCAGTTTTGCTTGAGACCTTTGTTCATTTTATGGCTGAATTTCAGGGCCATTCTGGATCCACTAGGTTCCTGCAAGCTTGCATTCATAGCCGTGCACAGCACAGTTAGCCCCCAATTGTACAAGCAATGTTCCACCTCATGTTTTGGTCATATATCTCTGAATTATAAAAGGTTAGGTTAAGAGAATGGTGCCAATCACTCAGTTTTTTTCTGCCTGTTCCAAAGGAAGCAAGAGATGAACTTTTAAAAAAGTCTTTAGATTTCCCTCCAAGAACATTATCATCTCGTGAAAGACATAGCATTTAATAACTCACAGTAGATGGTTTAGTTTTGCTAACAAAAGTGATAACATCTAATATATAGTAATTATACTGCGGGTCAGGCACTGTGGTTAGTGCTTCCTATACATCAGTTTAGATAAATCTTATGTTAGCCCTACATGCAGATAGCAGAATCCTTATTTTACACATGAGGAAATGGATACTTAGACTAAACAGTCTCTCTGGGTCTCACTGAGCTTGAGTTCAGGGATGGAGTAGGAAAGCAAACTCAGAACTGTTGGAATTCCAAACCCATAATCTCATCCATTGCCATTTATAGGCTAGATACCACCATTAATTATACTAATTAGACTAACATGAACTGACAAACGTGAAAAGGTTTGTACAGTGTTTAGCAACTACAGCAAATGGGAAAGTTAGCCTGCTTACTACAGTTGCCCGCCTGTCTGGATTTATCCTAAACAGAGGTTAAAACAAACATTTGAACAGTGTGGTATTTCAAAAGACACTTCTGCGTTCTGCTAATGTCCAAAGTCCAATAGCAGGGAAATAAAGAAAAAGTTCTGGCCTCAACTTGGAAAAGAATTGCCACTCAGGGTTTTAAAAAGAGGCTCTTGGGCACTTAGCTTTCACAGAATGACAAAAGATAAAACAAACCAAAACCCCCTACTTTATCTGTAGGAATGATCAAGCCTGTGAGTACTTAAAGTGGTGGAAAAAGATGAGCTCTTGTAGGAATTGTGACTCCAACTGTGAGCCAGCATGAGGTCCATCTGAGGGCTGCCTGAGGGACTGCATTTCAGGTCCCCCTCCTCTGGCAAGAAAATATTCCATGGAATTAAGTCTGGAGCAAGCTCCCTTCTAAGTGCTAACCAGGCTGATCCTGTTGAGCTTCTGGGATGAGACAAGATCAGATGTGTTCAGGGTGGTGTGACCCTCGCTGTGTGCTTTGGAAGGGGTGGTGGCAGAAGAAAGGGGGCGGCTGCTTCCGGGGGGGTCTAGCCCCTGGCCTAGTGACCCAGGGAGCTTAAAGGCAGCCCAGTGAGGTTGATGACGTTTTTAGCATAAGAATTACACAGAATTTCTGTCCTGGACTCCTGTAAAGCCAGTGGCTTGCTGGCCGCTGCCCCCCGAGGTAAATCACTGAGACACAGTCGGTGTTTCCCAGTTTGGCCTGTAAGTCCCAGTGGACAGCACCACAGGCCCCATTGGCGTCTCTGCTGTGGGGCCCTGGCACCTGCAGGGGCTGTTGTTTTCACACATACTCCCTGTCCTGGAAGCCAAATAATAAAAATAATAATGATAAAAGATATAAATCTGGAGGAAGCTCAGTTGTAATGACATCACTCTAAGAGTCCCCACCATTATCAAGGCAAGTCAGCAAAGTCCCACCATTAATAGCACAGAGCTCACCTGCTCTCTGCCCACTGCCCTCCCGTCAGCTCCCATCTGTGCAGATCTTTGTATTCTCAGAAGAAAATGGTTCTGTTGACAATGGTTGGCACCTCCATGAGCCATGACTTTGAACCTTGAAATGGTTCCCTTAGATACTGTCCTAAATGATAAAGAGCAGATACTACATGAAGGCCTCAGAGCTTTTACCCTCACCCAGGCAGTTTCTGATCTGGGATGTAATGTTGTTACAGGCATCAACAACAATGTCATTCCCTCACGGTTCTATTAACTGGTGCTGCACAAACTTGAATTGAATTCTCCTCTAGCTGAGGTTGTTGGAAGAATTCCAGGACTTTTTGATGCTCATTTTGTGTACTGATTTCACATCAAAGATGCAGGGCATATCCTATAAAAAGGGCCCACTGGGGACTGAACAAGCATGTCCTAGGAAGGGGAACAGAAAGAAAGAATCTACTGTGAGTAAGCATGGACATCTATTAGAGCTCCATATGGGAGGTTTTCAGGCAGTCTTATCAAGCAACCTTGGAAGTATTTCCAAGCGGGGCCCCAGTATTTCCAAGAATGGCTCCCAGATGATACTGCTTCACCCTGAGTCCTTCATGGAAAAAGAAGCTGCTACTGTCAAGCAGACCCATTTGTGAACAGGGGAGAGACTGAGGGCAGATATGCAAAGTCCGGAACCCCTAAAAACCCGAAAACAGCCGTTGGTCTTTGTGTACTTGTCTGCTTCCAACATTAGTAGCATTTTTTCTTCATACCCTTGTCTAAACCAACTCATATGGCTTTAATCCAGTATCAGATTAAAGGGCAGGAAGTTCAGCCCTTTCCCTTCCCAATGCTGAGGGGTCCATTCCCTCTTCTGGCGATGGTCCATCTTCTTTTATCATTGATTACTTTCCTACTGACTCACTCTCTGGCCCACATGAACTGCTGTGCCTGTTTCTGCCCTGCCCACTCTCTGTGAGCATTGTGACCAGAAATGGAAAAAAAAAAAAGATTTCCCTGCACTTGGAAGAAACAGCACAAATGAAAAGCAGTCGAGTTTCCAGTGGGGGCCAAATGGGGTATTGTAGAAAGAATGTACACTGGGTAAAACTTGGCCCTCACAGGATAGTACACCTTTATGCTCAGCTTTTAATATTTTGTTATAAAAATGTTTAAATAGATACACTCCCAGGGAAAAGTTTCATGCTCTCTATATCCAGGCAAACATAGTTCTTGACATCCCACTAAGATTGAGTTTGAATGGTTTAAATTTCAAATACTAGTTTTTGGGTATAAGAGGAAGATGGTGGTGTCAGGGAGAGGTGCTGGGTGCTCTGATAATGCCTTTTAATTCTACTTCTAGAAACAAGATTAAGTCAGCCTGCTTATAATCCACCTGCAAGTGTGATAAAGAAACCTGACCTAGGCTTTGGGAGGGCTGGGTCCTATCATTGAGTTACACTGATCACCCTTCAGGCCAACATTTTTCATATGATTCTTAGTTGAGAGTGTGTTAAACACAATAATGGCCCCCAAAGATGTTGATTCCCCTAATCTCCAATACTTGTGACGATGTTGCCTTACACGGTAAAAGAGACTGCAGATGTGGTTAAGGTTATGGGCCTTATAATGGGAAGAGAATCTGAGATTGTCTGGGTGGGCCCGGTCTAATATAATGAGTCCTTAAAAGAAGAATAAAAAGGAAAGATAAGGGTGAGAGAGATGGCAGCATCAAAAGGCTTGAACACCCCGTTGTTGGTCCTGAGATGTAGGGAACCATGCGCAAGGACCAGAGAGAAGCCTCTAGGAGTTAAGGGCAGCCCCAGCATGCTACCAGCAAGGAAACTGGAACCTCGGTCCTATAACCACGGGGAACTGGATTCTGCCAACAACCTCGATGAGCAAGGACACGGATTCTCTCCGGAGCCTGTGGAAAGAAATGCAGCCCAGCCAACAACTTGTTTTTATGTGTTGAATCCAGCGTTGAACTGCTGACCTACAGAACTATAATAAAATATATGTTTGTTGTTTAAGCTACTAAGTTTGTAGTAACTATAGACAACTAGCAGAAGAAGCACCTATGTGGTATAGGGTAGGACCAATAAAGCTTTCTATTGATAAGAGAAGCAGAGCCCTCAGCTCCATGAGGGCTGCTGCCCACCTCCACTGCTTGCATTAGTGAAGGGGGACCATAGCCAACAGTCGGGCAGAGAGCCCAAGATTTGCTACCTCTGAATACACAGCTGTTGCCCAACATGTATAAATTCTGGATGTAGATATTTAATATTTAATCACTGTAATTTTAATGTTCTGTCAATATTTTCAACCATAAAATGGATTCTGTCATGT